ACTCCTTCATATCCTTTCTCCAAGTAAGCTAGGAAATAAAGGAAATTTGTATTGTCTAAAAATAACTAAGTTTCCAAAAATACCATCTGGAGTAAATCAGCTATTCTCACATCCAAACCATTTTACTGGAGGAAAATGTAATTATTGATTCTTTAAAAAAAAAAAAATCAGTGCATAGTACACAACCCCAAAGATTGGTATTGTGTAACTTTAAAAGTATGTGAACTTTAAAAAACTTACTTTCAAATTTCAGTAAATATAGATTTTAGAGAATAAGTGTAAAACATCAACAACTACAAACAACTCTGTGATGTAAAAAGTCCACTTTGATTAGATACTAACTTTGTTAACTAAAAACATAACCACAAACCACTTCCATCATACATACATCATCCCAGGCAAAATGTACAAAATACCAAAGATAAATTCTAAAGGATGCCAAATCAAGAACCCACATCAGTTTAATCTCTTTGCATTTTGACTTCATTTTACAACTACATTCTTGGTTGTTTTTGAAAATCTGTAATTTTGCCAGGATGTACTTAAACCCTTGTTAAAAGATGAGACTTTATTTCCACAGATGAAGTCACTTCTGTTTCCTGGAGTTATGAAGTTTCAAAAGTCAAACTAATAAAGGCTTGGGGATTTCAAAGATATGGTCAATTTTTAAGTTAATGTAAATCAATGTGTATTACAAAGCAGAAATACAAACATTGGTAGTTCCAGTTAAAGAAAATGTAATTTACTAATTAACCATATTCTCACCTTTGGAATTTAACCTTTAAAGAACATGATTGTTTCTTACATATTCCTTGTACTTCCAAATACATATAACTTCTATAAAAACAAAACCTTATCTAAACAATATTGCAGAAAAATCACTGAGATATTAAATGTGGTGGCCTAAGCCATAAATTTTTTATTTACATAGACCTCTCCTGAAATTGCACCCTGTTTCCTGGCATTGTATGTTGTTTCATACAAGTCACTTAATTTTTCAGAACTATGGTAAATCACATTTTGCTCAGTTCTACTCTCAAAAAAAAATGAAATCCTTTCTTAAAAATCAACTTTGGCCAGCCCGGTGGCACACACCAGTTAATCCCAGTGGCTCAGGAAGCTGAGCCAGCCTCAGCAAAAGTGAAGTGCTAAGCAATTCAGTGAGACCCTGTCTCTAAATACAAAACAGGTGGAGATGTAGCTCAGTGGTCAAATGCTGGAGTTCAATCCCTGGTATCAAAGGGGGGAGGGGGGGAATCAAAACTCAACTTTGCCACACAAACCTATCCCATTTATCTGCTTCTGAAATTCAGATTACTAAAGCATCTTAAAATTATAGCCTGCTTCTTTACAGCTGGCAAGAAACCCTACATTAGTCTTCATCAGAATTATTCCCTCTGGCAAGTTTGGTGACATGTCTCTTAGCTTCTCTGTTAGTGGTCATCTTGTCTCCAGCACAACCTATCTTTTCTTTTACAGCATTTCTATTTGAAAAATAGATACTTCAAAGAATACAGAAATGGCTCCAACTACCTTGGGCACCTAGCATAAAACCTCATTTCCTTATTTGCAAAATGAGAGGTTTGGAGAACCAGCCAAGCTCCACTCACCACTCCAGGCTGCATTAGGTAGTGGTGGAGACAACGGAGCACTTCACTTAACAGCTCGCTCTGCAGGGTTTCCAGTGTATTGATTACTTTGGTATCTTATTCTTTATGGACTGATACAGACATTCTACATGAAAATTCCAAGTTAAATGCTACTATTGTAAATATATAAGGGGAATTACTGAGGACAGTGATGAGGTAATGATGGATCTTTTATTTTAGGCCCAAACCCCCTTCTCAACCCTTGTCCTCCTTTGCAGGGGGTTTGACAACCTTTAGAACTAATTCAAGTTACATATTCCTTATTATACCTATTTAAAGCCTAGAAAATGAGGGAAAGAAACATTCAAATGTATAGTTATTAAGCTCATTTTATTTAAACCCTAATAACTCAAGTTCAGTATCAAGTTTTAATAATCTTAGAAAATATACTACCACTATAACACATACATGCATAACTTTGGATGCTTTATAGTGAAATTGTTGGAACATTGCAGATATTACTTTCTACTGGCTCAGAGAAGTGCTCCCACATCCTCTGATCAACCACTGGGTAAGGGAGCAATTGTCTTCAAGTATGACTTCCAACGAAGTGTTAAAATTATAAATTCAATAAGGTATGAAACAACATATCACTGACTTAGGGGGCACTCTACTAGATGTAAAAACAGACATTCAGATTTCCATTACTTTCTAGGATCAGAGTAAAGTCCCAAAGAAATACTTTGTAGTGTAGGAGGATGATTCACACACACCCTAGAGTTCTCTGCACTTCACCTTCCCTTGTTGTTCTTCAAATCATTTACTCTAATAACTGTAAATCTAGAATATATAAGGCAATGAAATCTGATTACCACAAGTAATGGTAAATCAGCTACAAAATGTATAGTGCAGTCTGTAAGAAATGCAAATCTACATTACTACACCACTGGATTCTCCCTCTTCATGGACAACTGAATTCAAAATGAGCACTTAAAAAAATAGCAAAGGATTCAAGACCATTGTTAAAAGGCAGTTTAATCAATGGTTGATGGAAGATAAAGACGTACTGCTTGGGCCATAACTGACTCTATATTTCTAATCTGAGGTCCTTCTTTTACCTTCCATACTCCTAGGTCCTTTCATTAACCAGTAACAGATCTAGTGTTTATTATAGAGAGTTGACAAGACTCTCCTACAGGGGATGGGTTATTTCCCAAAATTGGACGGTCTGTCTTCAGCATTTCTCATAGCCAGAAATGCAAAACACATAGATGGTAATGGGTATAATGGAGTGAAAAATGAGACACCTGAAACACAAGTTCTAAGAGTTGATAGTTTGAGAAAATGTAGTTAAATGACAAACTGAGAATCCTCAATATGAGGTATTAAAAATGATAAGCAAAATTAACTACAGGATTCTGTTTATTTTATTTCAGAATATTATAAAGAAATATAGTCATTTAAAATTCCTAAAGCAAGGCTTTATCTAGGAATTGTGGCAATAAAAAATAATTAAAAAAAAAAAAATCAAGCAAGCTATGGACATACTAACCCAATTAAATAAATAAGGAGAGGCCAGAATCAGTTTAATATGCTAACTCTTACAGAGAACCTGAGGTCATAAGTCAAACTACAAGCCCCTTACCCTACTAAAGCATTAAAGAGTACTCACACCAAGCTAATTTAAAGGTTTAGTTTATACAATTGATAATTCTGCAAACTCCACAATATAAATGGCAATAACTACATGTTTTAAATACTGTAATAAAAAATAAACAGTCATTGGTTATTCTGTAATGCAATAAGAATTAATAACCTAAGAAAACAAATTGTGAATAAAGGCATATTTAATAAATTAGGGAACATCTGAACTAATGGATTAGGGGGAAAATTTAACTTTTATAGTATGTACACAAAGGCAAGGGAAACAAATGAAGAAAACAAATTACTACATTATTGCAGCACAGAAAAGATTGGGTGTATATTATTAACAATTACAATCTCTTTCCTGTAGCCCGGCAAAGAACAGAAGTCAAGTTACCAAGCACAGGGACAATTTCATCTCTCATGTGAGTCTCCAACAGCAAGTAGATACGGCAATTTCATTAAGTGACTTACTGTTATTTCACACAATATGTGGCAGTAAGAAACTTAAAAAAGGATTAAAAGGCACGCATACGCTGATTTCAAATATTTTAAGTTCAGGCTACTCTCTTCAGATACAATATTTAAAACACTAGTATAGCAAAAACAATTTTAATATAAACATTTCCAAAAACTTGAATACACAACTTAGGAACAGTGAATCTGCATCAAAAAAAAAGTTACAATAAAAAAAAAGTGTAAGAATCATGAAATAATCACAGCTAATTTATATTAGAGATAAGAAAAACTTGTAGGTAACCTATTTGTTAGGGAAATAAAGTGAATGTTTGATTTTAGAATAACAGGTATCATGTTTACTAAAAGTTCTCACTACAGTTCATGCCTACTTAAAATTCTATCTTTAGAGATTTAAGCTGATTTTATTATTCCTTACCACAATTAGACTCATTGAAGAACTCAAAATGAAAGCAATAGCATTTTTCTTAGCATGCACACACTATAAAATAATCTACCATTTAGTCATCTCATAATAACTTGTTTTCAAAATTTAAAGAATGATCAAACTTTCTTGAAAATACTGGGGAACATTTTCTCTAGTGTGACATGTTTATGCATCGCAAGTAGCATTTTTATATCCATATCCTTTTCTTGAATAAACATTTTAACACCAGTAGACTTAAACATATATAAGGATGAGGCAGATTCTAGTGTATAAGATGGAAGTCATCCATAAGATTCCACGTGCAAAACACAAAGCCGAAAGTCAAAAAGGAAAAACGAAAAATCAAAACAACAATCAGAAAACCCATCAAACACAAACCTTATATAAAAGTTTAAAGGTGTTCGTCCAAAAAATAAACATGCAAGGATGATTTGACTACTTTAGCCTTTTTGAATGTTCAAAGCTAAGTCCTTTCTGATGGCCCCCTTTTGAAAATGATCTAATATTCCATAAATTTTTAGATGCATTTTTCTTGTCTTTATTAAGTACAATTTGTGGTGACAATACTTGTTTCCTAAAACAGAGGCACAGGTTTAAGGAGTTAAATCTCCTTCTAGGTGTTGTTAAGTCTTCTTAAAGGTAATATTTGATGTCATAAGTGCTCTATCAGCATAAAGTAGGCATTTGTAAAAATAGCCATTAAACTATTTCACAAGTATATTTAATGGACATATAAACCCTATGCTAAAAATATAAATGAGGAAGTATAGCATAGTTCTAAGACTTATATTGTTGACCATCAAAAAGTAAACCACCCTCTTTTTAAGACTTAACAAAACTTTAAAAAAAATTGCTTAAACATATGAATTTAAGACTTTACTTTATTCAGCAAAATCATTTATTTACACAATGGGGAATGCTGGTTTGATTTTGTCAATGAAATAAAAACAAACTGAACAGAGACAATACTGAACTGTATATATATATATATTTTGTATCAGAGTTGACCAACTGTTTCCTTACCTGTATCGGGAACATCAAGAGCAACAGTATCACAAGGACACTGGTTTAACAATACACCACACAGGTCCAGTAATACCCTGGGAATTTTCCAATGCAATTACCAACTTTTTCTTTTTTTATAAAGATATAAAAAAACAAAAAGTCAGCAAAACCAGCATTATGATGTAATAAACAGAGTATAACCCTGAAGTCAGTGGGTCAGTAAAAACCTTATCAGACCATCTAGTTACAAAGTGATCTGCTCTTCTTCAGACCACAATACAGAATCCAAACAGGTGAAAAAATATCACTTTTTAGAAGATAGCAATGATCTGATAAGGATTTGACTTAATGGAAGTTAAGGGGGAAAAAATAAAAATAAAAGGGATTGCAGAGCATAGCCCCTATTAGAACAAGCTAACTTTCCAGATTTTCCAAATTAAAAAAAAAACAAAATTAAAAAAAAAAAAAACACTTCAACATGAAGCTACCATACAAAGTTTTTCCATGTTTCTTTGTAAAAAGTTCAGAGTTTGCAATTTAATCCTGGGTTTTTAATGAGAAGGACAGTTTTGGCCTGGACTTCCCCTTGCCCAGGATAATTTTTTGTTCTTCTTTTTGTTGACGTTGTCGTTCTTGTTCTAGTTTCATCCTTTCCTCATGAATCTTTCTTTGCTCTTCAACAATTCTCAACTGTTCTTCAGCCTGTAAATTAAAAGAAAAATTAGACCTTTTATTAATATTTTGTCTATCAAGTGACAACTGATGATCAATACAACATACAAGAGTATATTTCTCAAAGTATACCTAATATCACACAGTAGATGATAAAAGAAAAAGTGATGAAATAGAATCTTCATTATTCCTGCATTTTCTGTATTTCACATTTTATGAACAACAACAAAACTGTAGGAAAACACATTTTGAAAATGGAAAGAAATTTCTACAAATCATCTTTAGTGTAGATTTTCTTTTACCTATCTTCTATGAATTATTAACCAAAACTATCAATTATAAATCAAGGCAGATTTTTGTTACCTATAACTGGTTACTATATTCATAATTAGAAAAGTATACAATAAATGATATGAAAAATCCCCCTTGGGGCTACACTGTATTGTTGATATGCAACTAAGAAATACTATAGACATAATTTCCTAGAGAGAAAAAAATTAGTAAACTTAGTGGACTAAAAATGCTATCTAATTTCAAATGCAGTGATTTAAGTAACTCTTGCAGTGCCTTCAACCCCTTCAATCTCAAGCAAAGAATTTACTGTATTCTCCTACAGGTTTCCTCTCTTTACCAAGAAAATTCCGGCCATTGTCATAAACTTCTTATTAAATCTTTCCTTCCTACCTTCCACATCCAATTCCTCAATTCTCAACCAGGCATACTATTACTCCTCTTCCCCTAAGACACTATGCAATGATTAGGGGATAATTTGGGATGTCACAAATGGAGATGATTACTTGCACCTGGGGGGTAGAAATCATGAACAATGCTAGACATCCTATAATGCAAAAGATAGAATCCCACAATCAATACCAAGGGTTAACAGTGCCACCATGAGAGCCTGTTTTTAACCCCTGAATTTTCGATCCATCACCAATGTGTCCTTTTTTCCCTCTGATCTTGATTTTTTAAAAACATTCACTGTATCCTGTGAGCTCCCTTCAATTTTCATTCAATCATTTTAAGTCTTTACTTCTATTTCCATTATTCTATTGAAACTATTTTCAAGATGGTCAATAACAATATATCCAGTGATGTTTCTCTTTATTTGAATAAATTATTTAATTATTTTAAAAATGCTCTCTCCTACATATTCTCTAATACAAAACACTAGGTTCTCCACTGCATCATGCATTTTGTCTCTACTTTCTTTTAAAAAGTAAAACATAAAGTGACTAGACTGAAGGACTGTTGGCAGAGAATATGTAATAATAGCTTCTGGGATGCAAAAATGCTAGAATTTTATCTTATGGATAGGCAAAACAGAAAAAAAAAAAAAGCATCTCCTAAATATGTTAATACAAAAAGGTTTAAGACAATGCAGGGAAGACTAAAAGGCAGAAGATAGATGGTGGAACAGATCTACTATAGTTAAGTCAGGTTAGAGAGAAATAAGCAAAGATCGGGATGAAATGAGCAAGGCCCTGGTAGCTGGGTCAGGTGGAAAATCCAAGAGAGATATAACATAATCTTTTCTCTCTCAGATCTTTTTTCTAAGCTACAATTACAGGACACAGAGTCCCAATGGTCCTTTCAAAATTCAACATGCTCAAACATTTAAATTTTTCTATCTACTGTTCTAATTCTACAGATTTCTTTTGCCTCCTTCTCTTCCTGAAAACAACTAGTCATTAAGTCTCCTTAATGCTTCTTTTACATTCTCTCTGGTCTGAGAGTTTATTCTTGTTTCCATTGCCAACATACAAGTTCAGGGTCGCACATCTCTTGCACACCTAAAACAATATGCCTGTTTTCAGGGTGTCTTTTAATCCATCCTACAGATAATGTGACTAGACTTGCTTTTCTTTACCATTCCTCTCTTGCTCTTAAATTTCCAATGATTTTTCCACTGTCTACAGAACATAGCTAGTGTTTCTAAATCACATTTCTATAAGCCTTAAAACTTACACTAGGAGTGGGGATATAGCTCAGTTGGTAGAGTGCTTGCCTTGAAAGCACAAGATGCTGGGTTCAATCCCTCCCAACACACACACACACACACACACACACACACCAACAAAACCTTACACTAAAATTCTACTTGTACATTAGAATCCATTTCAAATCACTAATCTTCCTTAGATTTTCCATGACAATTACAACAAAAAATTATATTTCTATTCTTTAGCTAACTCATATGCCAATTGCTTTATTCAGTTTTAATAAATCATCACACATTTAGGATAAAAACTTAAGTGTGTACTATTGAATAAAAGTGTGTTACATGTGTTTTAGGAAATCACTGTCAATATAAAACACCCAAGCTCATTTTTCCCTAAAAATCCAATTCTGCCCTAGAAAAGCATATTGGAACCCTGGGGAGTGAGGGTGAAAGGGCAAAAAGAAAGAACATTATAACCTCAACCTGAGATTAGAATTAGAATTACAGAGATACCATCTTTTACCCTACCAAACTGACAGAAATCCAAAAGCATGAAAGCATTTTCTATCTTAACAAAGTGCACTTTGATCCCCATCAAAATTGTACCCTTTGCAATACTTTAACCCAATGATTTCATTTTCTGGAATTTATAAGTATGCTTGCACACATGCAAAACTAATAATTTGATAAGGTTATATATTGTAACATATTTCATAAAAGGAAAAGACTAGGAAAAAAATTCAAATATTTAGCAATTAAGCACTGACATTAAATAAGATATAAAAGACCTACAAAACAGAATACTGCATATGTACTTAAAAAAAAAAAAAACTAAAAAAAGCCTCCACATTCTGAAACAGAACAAGAATATGCTATTACAGGATAAAAGCAAAATGCATGCATACAGTGTATGCTACCTTCATGCAATAAATAAACATATAATATTTACCTCTGACATGCATTTTAAAAATTCTAAACAAAAAACATAATTGAATGTTTTAGGAGATGGGAATAGGAAGTGGACAGACCAAGGGAAAGATACAGGAACTTTACTGTATATTTTTCTTTAAAAGTCATGCGAACCATGTGACTATATAATCAAAAAATTGAAACAAAAATTATAAAGTAAAGCAATTTCATAGAAAAATCATAGTGCACTGAAGTTACCTTTACACCACAAATAATCAAGTCTCATTTTTGTTTAAGTCTACAAACATAAAAGATATAAGTACGATTGTACAGTAGAGCTATAATTTCTCTGGGACCATGTATCTCAATAGAAGTTAATTCCCAGTGCTAATAATATAGCACCAATTAGAAGTACTTAGTAATGTAATAAAGTTTTTCTGGCTGGGTGTTGTGGCACATGCCTATAATCCCAGTGGCTCAGGAGGCTGAGGCAGGAGGATCACAAGATCCAAGTCAGTCTCAGCAAATTAGTGAGACCCTATCTCAAAATGACAAAATAAAAAAGGACTGGGGATGTGGTAAGTGGTTAAGTGCCCCTGGGTTTGATCCCTAGTATCCCCCCAAAAAAAGTGTTTTTCTGTCCATCCTTTGGTAAATTTAGTACCCTTGCTAGGTCTTTTTATAAACCCTAACCTCCCTCCAATTAACTTCTTCCTTCCTGACTGACTCAATCTAGCAGAAAACATCCATTGTTCTTCTCACCTCTTCTTTTGTTTCACATTTATGCAGAAAAAAGGAGTGTATGCATGGGGGTAAGGAACAATACAAAGTTACAAGGATAAAGTGGTGAACATCTTGGAAGTCAAGGAGAAACTTAAGGCCTACAACAACAGAGCTATTACATTTGGACAGGTCTTCCTGGCCATTAGACCCAGGACTCTGCAACCCACCCCAAAAGTGACTGGTAAGAAGGAACATACAGAAACAAAATGTACTGTTATGTTATGGGTAAGGAGCCCTTTTACCCTCCCAGTATCCTATACCTTATCTTTACTCAGAAAATCTAATGATATTATAAAAATTACTTTCACACTTCAATTACATTGGTAATTTATTCAAAGTGTTGCCGAACAGTCCCTTTAAGTAAGGATACTGAAAACCACTCACTATTTGATATATACACAGACATGAAATCTTATAGAATGTTAAAAAAAAAACACCCCAAAGACAGAGATATTTGTTATGAAGAGTAATTACAAAAATAACACCAAAAAGATTTAAAAATTAAAAAGTAAAAAACAGCACAATTAGGAACCATGCCACTACTAAGAAATGTGAACTTTGGATGTTTTAAACCTTCAAGAATGCAAATCCTGATCCACTCTGCTATTTGTAAATTTAATTACTTGATACATCATCTCCTCTATACATTAATGTATCTCACTTTAAATAACAAATGAATAAAAAAAATTTTAAAAGAAATTACAGTTGATTAATTCTGACCTTCACAAAACTGTATTAATAAAAATTTTTTAAAGTTTTTTCATTTCTAAGGCTAAAAAATTATCATAGAAGGGTAAGACACAAGATCCTCTCCCTTCTTAGTAACGATGAGGTTCTCTCCTTATGGTATACAATATTCCCCATCTATCCTTATGTGATATCATTAGCTTCCCTACAAAGAGAATTCATGCCATCACATACTCCCTTCTCAATCTATTTTAATTCTTGTTACCTTTCTAATCTGAACCACCCCTCCCCCTTTTTTGTGGTTCTGAGGATTAAACCCAGGGCCTTGTGCATGAAAAGCAGGCCCTCTACCAACTGAGCTATATCCCCAACCCTTTAAACCACTTTTGAAACATCAACCTTGTTATCTGAGATGCCATATTAACTAAAGATAACTGCTTCAAAAGGTAAAAAAGACTGATAATTGAGTTAGGTATGAAATATCAGGGATGAAATCCACTGTCGTAGACCTCCAAAGACAATGCTCTATGATACTGCCAACAGAAGTATGTTAACTACAGAATTTCTTTTATCCTTTATGTTCCAAAGTTTCAAACAAAACCTGTATCTTCTAGATATGGCTCCTTGAATCTTCTGCACCCTAAGATCTCTTTTCTTTGGGGTTAGAAAATTTTGTCTTTGTCATTTATTCCATTTTGTATACTTCAGT